AGATTGTTTGATAGTGTGTGAGAGTGAGTGTGAGAAAGAGTGACACAAAAGCAAAATGGGACCGCATTAGTGCTTTAGCACAAATGTTTGCACACACTGTACTAACTCTGTGTTTGCATACATGACCGTTCATTCATGAAAAGTTCCATTTGAGAGCTCTGAGCTGATTTAATGCAATGTTTTGGGACTCACGTCAGCTGATTCATAACATACTTGAGGACCACCCTAAACTTGAATGCGTTTGAATGTAAATGTGTGTTGGAAATATTCAGGTTCAACTGCTTTGGGGAAATGTAAGGGTGGTCTTAGGAGTGCTTATATGAATGGGTTAGGATTGGTCCAGATTGGACTTAGACATGCTGCATACTGTACTGAGAAACTGTCTGTGAATCATGTACTTTGCCTCTTGTCCAGAGTAATTAAAATGTGAGGTTACCTCTTATTACTCAAAAATGTAAAAGCAAGAACAAGTAAATACAAAAGTGTATTGACAGAAGCTTAAAAACCAGACCATGTCAAAGTTGAAATATGTGATAAAACCAAATAGCTGATATACTGTATGCTGATGTGGGCAAAGATGAAATTCATAAATCAAGATAAGCTAAGATGCAGTCTGGTATTTGTTATGTTAGATAACAGACTCATGTGCCATCTGAATGACAATACACAAAAGAACTAATTACAAATAGACAATAAATAATAACTGTGTGCATATGGGTGTATTGCTTTTTCTCTTCCAAAAAATAAACTAACAGACCAACCAATTAACCAACCAACAAAATATTTAACCAACTTACTAAAAGACCAGTCATCTAATAAATTAACAAACTGTTTAAATAGCAAACCAACAGATCAATTATTTGACTCACCAACCAGCCCTGATCAACAGACCAATTAATAAAATGGGTAAATAAACATAAAAATTTCATCAATAGTTTTGTTAACATTTTAATAGATTCATATTAAAGTAATTAATTTAATCTCTGCTGCATTACTGCTTCACAAAAAAGCCATGAAATTACCAAATTATATTCTAAGTTAGGTAAATTATTTCTGCCATTTTCTTGTGCTACACGACAAGTTAATCCCTAAAAACTGAATGTGGAATGCTCTGTGACCACTGAATTCCTGACATCCTTGTAAATTTGGGTGATTCGAGTACATTGCCACTGAAACACTCTTGAAATAAACTCCAGATTTAGCTGTATCTGAACACTGTTGAGAATGTCAATTATACATTAACGTTTTTGAACATTTCAATTGGAAAATGCAAAAAAATACATTCATTCTACATACAGTATACATATTATATAC